CACCCCCTGGGGCTTCCCGAGGGAGCGACCAGAGACTTTGCTCAGTAGAAAGGGCTATACCCCGTGTCTCCCAGGCCCGGCTAGGTGAGGGCACCTGTGGGCGCAGATACTTACGATGGCGACTTCTCCACTCCAGTGGCCCTGCATGAGGGGGCAGGGGCTCATCACCGCCATCGCCATGTTGTAGGCCCCGAAGCCGGTCCCAAGTACGGTGAGGACCCCCAGGAAGAGCAGAGACCTAGGGCAGAGCGGGGGAGGTGAGTGAAGTTGTGAAAAGCCTGACCTCTGCTCCCCCCACCCCCCAGCCACATGGAATGGTCAGCATCTCCAGGGTTAGAGGCTGAAACTTCCAGGCCACCAGGCTCCTGTGGGGCAGTGAGGCTCCTGAGGGACAAGTCACCCTGAGCGTTCGTGGCAGGCCCACATCCCAGCAGGAGAGGCAGAATGACTGGCACTACACGGACCTGGTTCTAATCCCAGTTCCACCATTTAAGCTGGAAGATTGGTCCCTGAGCCTCAGTGCCCTCACCTGGGAAATGAGCCTTGGGGGACCTGTGGGAGCAGAGCGTGCAGTGCCTGGCCCTGGCCATGGGCCCTACCTAATATTTCACCTGCTGCCACTTCCTCCCGCAACACCCCCAGCCGTAGGCAGGAAGCTGGGCTAGAGAGGAGGTGGCTCTGGCGCTGCAGGCGTGGGGTGTGACCTCGGGAACCCCTCTCTTCTGGCCCCAGCTACCGTCTATAACGGAGGCCTGCAGGATCTGGGGGCCCTGGGGCAGCTTGGATGCCGTCCATTCCGAGCCCAGGTCTGACATCGAGGGCCCTGTCCTTCCTTCATTGGAGGTCTTGGCCCTGGGCTCCGTGTTCAGAACACCAAGGCTGCTCCGTGCGGGTGAGAGCGAGGGTCTGCCCTGCCTCTGAGGACTCTTTCAGCTCCGGGATTCTTGGATTCCTTGACTCTCAGATTCTGTATTGCTAACATTCTGGGCGTCTCAGGTTCCACAGCTCTGTGGTCTCTGGTCTTGCTTCCCCAGAAATCTCCGGCCTCCATCAGTTTTTAAGCCCCAAGGAAGACAATTCAGCTTTCTGGCAAAATGACATTTTCTGTCATAACTCTCCTGTACTCATTCTCTCTCCTTCCGGGGCTGGGGAGGTGGGTGTGGGCAGGGGGAGGTGGGCAGGGCTAGGGAGGTGGGTGTGGGCAGGGCTGGGGGGTGGGTGTGGCAGGTGGAGGTGGGCAGGGCTGGGGGAGGTGGGTGTGGCA